ACTTAGTTAAAATTCGTAAAAAAAAAGGTTCATCCTTTTGATAAAAAGACTGAACCCTATACTATACGTAAAAAAATGGCCTTACTAAAAAAAAATGTCAAGAAATTTCGTAACAACCAAGCATACGGGTATTCTCATGGGTATCGATTGTTGGTGATTTATATTTGTATCATATTACAGAGAATCGTTGTGCAGGGGCTTAATACACATGTTTGTAGGTTTTCGGATATTTTTTATAGATCAAACTAAGCCTAGCTTTGGCTAAAAACATTGATATGATATATTCATATACTATGATATAAACAAGATTTTGCTGACTGTCTAAAGGTATTATTTTGGCACAAAGTACCAACAATTAATCATGTTTTCAGTAAGTCTTTAACACAATCACAATCTTTTTTCCTGAGATTTTTGTTTCAGTGGCAGATTGAAGTATAAAAAGAATTCCCAGAATGGCAGAATGAAACCTATATTTTTTGAATAAGTTGGGCATGTAATGTTCCCTTATTTAATTACCTTTCTTTCAGTTGCTTTTTATTAGTGTTTGACGACGTAAAGGTACTAGAAGTTACATTAATTCGCTGTCTACTTTATGCGTCTCTGAAGTAATTTATTCTCGCCAATTACGAAACGACTTTTCTCTTCTTGAGGGAAAAGCTTAATCTATCAGTTTGCTTCGGAACCTTTGAAAGTACTGTTTGTTTGTTTTTTTAAACTAAGCTTTATAACGTACCTAACTAGACAGAAACCTCCTTATTGAAGATAAATATGTTATGAAAATTTAAAGTTCCATTTAAACGGCTATGCGTGGCCAAGTGGTTCGCTTACCTGGACTATGGATCCAAGAGTCCATGGTTCGCGTTTTTTTTCCGAAAAAACACGCTCCACACTTTCGAGCCGTTGGTGGGTTATGAAATTGCCCTTCGATAGAGATCCAGACTGTGGATCCGCCAATCCATGATTCGTGTCTTGCTTCCGCCAAATCAGACCACGAAATCTGAGTCTGTGGGTGGGTTGTAAAAGTAAAATTGAAATTCGATAAGTATTCGATAAGGCATGAGTAGCCAAAAAACTGGTAAGTGCTGTTGATTAGTTGCTTTGCGCGAAGAATCTTCAAACAGACAATCAATTGTTTATTAATATATTTAAAACTTGTTTAGGCCTCTCATGGTAAATGGTAGAGTATCTTAGCAATTATCCAGTCTATCTGGATTCATTCTAGTAGTTTTAATAGTTCTACAATCACAAGTCTAAAGATGAAAACTGTTTAATTAAAATCTATATATACAAAGCACAAAAATCTGTGTGTCTGTCTGTTTGTCCCTTATCTAACTACTTTTAGGTCGCTTGGCCAATCTCAACCAAACTTTGTGGGATGATAGTTTGGAACAAGGAGCGTGTTAATGATGAGGTCGGCAACCCCTCCACCCCAATATTGATGTAACTGAGCATTTATTATCTTTGACGTAAGTTAACGTTAACTACATTCATATACAGCGTCACGTTCTTACACCAAATAAGAAAAAAAACGTATTACATTTTCGCCCCCCTGGTGGGACAGCAATAAATCTTCGGATTTACAATGTTAAAATCAGGGGTTCGAATTCCCTCGATATACACAGCAGATGGCTCTATGTGGCTTTGCTATAACAAAACAAACCCATTACATTTTTTTAGAACACAACATACACATAGTGTGGGGCACACACATGGGTTATATATATCTTAGACAGTGCTCTAGCACTCTCTGTGGAGGAATGCAATGAAAACAATGGCCGCCACTATTGCAATAATCCATAAACTCCGATGAAGTTTCTTTTCTAACAGCCACAATAAGGCTGATATGAAGAGCAGTTTTTTGAGTTATACCCGCTTCCTACTTTGACCCGTGACCTTTCAATTTCGGCCCGTAAGACATTTCTGCGGCCAATGATCGTCAATTGAGTAATCACGTAAAACACTGTGGAAGAACATCAAGAGCTGGGTGTTTGAAGTTGGTAACAAAAAACCCAAATGTATGAAACCGAAGTGGGTCATACAGAGTACAAAGCTCAAATAAGTCATACACAGTATAAACCCAAGTGAGCCATACACAATATAAGCCCAAATGGGTCAAACACAGTATGAAACCAAAATAGGTCATATAGAGTATGAAGCTCAAGTGGATCATACAGAGTATAAAGCCTAAGTGAGTCATACACATACAAAACCACAAGGTCAGGCAGGAATTTAGCATTATTACACCCAAAGTAACCATAACAAAATCATTTTGCAGTAAGATCAGTGGAAGGGGTGTCGCCTTTTTAAAATGTTGTACATCATTCACTCTAAAAAAGTACGTGTTTCTAAAAACACGAACAGCACTAAACATAATGGCAATAGCTCAGTAAACAACCTTTCAGACATTCGAGACGTAATAACTTAAAAGGCTAAAGAATCTGTCTCGTGTACAGAAATATGGAGTTTCAATTCTCCCTCACCTCTGACCTCAGTTTCCACAAGAGCACGTGCTTTTCTTTTTCTCGTGCCCTCGTTTCAGTATTTGTAAACAGATCGTATTTCTCTAAAGGGTTGTCTGTGATTATCAGTAGAATTTGCGTGTATAAGAACTCGGATCTCAACGAACTTAAAACAATGTGTTTTTTATTTGACATATCCAAAACTCTCTAATCTCATCACTACGTACAGGGATCGAAGAACATCGAATTACTCTTGAGTATTCTATAACAAAAGGATAACTTTGTTTCATACATTTAACGTTACTACTCTAATGCTTATGATAAAATACTGTCGGCTATTCCCAACAACGCCGTTTCACTTATTTATATATGTACATTTAGAAAACTAATGTGTGAAACAAATTAAACTCCTTCTTTGCAATTTAATTTACATCAAATGTTTAACTTAGCTTATATTAAAGTATATCAGCATTATTAGCTATATGTGATAATAAAAAAAAACTTATAGGTTACTACTGTCTATATCAAAATACAGCTTAGACAAAATCAATTTATTTAAATATTAAAAAAAGTCATTTGTTATTGAAATTCAAATACGTAAGTTGTTTTTAGATCAAAGCCATATTGGACTATCTGTTGTGCCCACTGCAGGGAGTCGAACCCGTATTTTAGTATTGTAAGTCCATAAACTTACCGCTGTCCAACTAGGGGACCAAATAGTTAGTAAACGTGATTGTTGTTATACAATACTCATAACTTTTTTTAATGAAAAATAACCAAAATGAATAAATCTTCAACTGCATTTAAATACAATGCAAAATCTTTTTCGTGAAAAGTAAATATTAATGCTAAAAAAGAATTGTTGGAACATTTGAAAGATACCATCAACAAGTTAAATCCACAGTAACGTGTTCACATGATTTGTATCTAGTAACTTCTAATCAAATAAATTATCATATCAAAAGTTTTACCAGCTTTTTGTTGTTCTTGTTGTTGTTTTAACTCAACAAACAACATACCAAGGAATAGATTACGTTAACGCTAAAATTCTTGCACTTTTCGCACCTCCCCCGCCCCCCAGTGACACAGTGGTATGCCTGCCGACTTACAACAACGCTAGAAACCGGGTTTCGATACCCTTGATGGGCAGAGCACAGATAGTCCATTGTGTAGCTTCGTGCTTAACTTCAAACAAACAAACTTACACGTTTCGTGGAGAAGTAAGGAAGTGTCGTTTGAGTATAAAATGAGCAAATTATAGTAAACTTGGAGCAGAAGAACATTTTGATAACATGAACTGATAAAGATCCGAGTAAGTACACTGAAATGTCGCCCTTTTCCATATTCTTCGTTAACTTCTTTATCAGTTTTATTACATTTAAGTACATTATATCACTATAGTTTCTGCTGTAAGATGAAAACATTTAGCTCATATCAGTTAACAAGACTAATAACATGACAATTTCACTGATACAGGATTGAGTAATGATATTTTCGTCAATTCTCTTAGGTCTATAACAAGCTAAGAACATGCATGATTAAAACTATTTAACCACAGATTAGATTGAAATTTATTTTCCACATTAGTTTCTATACGACCACGAAGTTTAAGTTCACATCCTAGATTGTCTTGTTTTATATATATACCAGTGTGGGTATCACTTATAGTTGAATAAAGTTGAAATGATGGAATTGATAAAACCACTTAAAATATAACTGATTTTTCCTTTTCGACGTAATTCGAATTACTTTGAAAGAACCATAAACTACAATAAACTTCTTACAGTTGTAGAACTAGAAAAGTAGTTTGATCTTGTCATTAAAAATCTTGCTCTATGTTTTCGATGGAAAGTTTGGATTCCTAGTAATTTCCAGATTAATTTGGTCAAAGTCTCTTGAGATAAGCAATAGTTAGATTGTCCTTTGATTGAAGAGAACCGACAGGAATTAAATACACGTATAGATTACTAAAATCATTAGAAGTTACGATTCCTGTATTTTTTCTTGTTCGTCACAGTCTTAGAATTGGTGGATTCTTGATTTAGATTACGTTTATACGACATTAGTCACTGTTTAAAAAAGAAAAAAAAACACTAGATACACTGGTAATAAAATCTAGGAAAACTTTAATCTGACCCAACGTTTCGGGCCTAAACCCTTCCTCAGGTGATGTTTGTTAAAGTCATATACAGAACACATTCGAATGTCTACTGTATATACGACTTTAACAGACATCACCTGAAAAAGGGCTTAAGCCCGAAACTTTGTGTGAAATTAAAGTTTTCCTAGATTTTATTACCAGTGTACATAGTGTTTTCTTTTTTAAACTTTGTCTTGCATATTCTCTGCGTTTATATATATATATATTTGTGTTTGTATATGTTAATCACTGTATAGCAATCTTCATTAAGGAACTCTGTAATTGATGTATTAATTAATCTCCTACATCTAGCTGACACTTAAAAACTCATATAGTTGATGAACTTACGAAAACATGTCGATCATGGTAACAGTTAATTATCAAGTGTTCTCCGAAGGTAACTACTTTCTTTTGGAGGTAGTCTGACAAGGAGTTTTATAAGTCACTTTAACATCTTCTTGAATCCAATGGTTTGGACGAGTCTTTAGCCTGCACAATCTAGCAAAAAACTTTTTCCAAGATTCCAGGGTTTTTTCGGACCATATCCAGAATCCAGATGTGATACCAACAATGAGAAACATGAAGTACTTGAGCATAAACACAGAATAATCTGGTTTCAGGTCTGGCCCACTGCAGGGACAGTTTGTGCTACGCTCCCACGTATCCCTAGATACATGCTCGTAGATGTAGCAGCCAATAATTGAAGTGGCGGGAACAGTGTACAAAACAGAAAATATGCCAATCCGAACCATCAGTTTTTCCAGTTTGTCAACACTGTCTCTCTCTTGCTGTCTAATGATGCTCCTGATGCGAAAGAGTTCAATAAATCCGCCTAGAAGGAAAGACGTGCCCACCATAAGATAAACACATAGTGGAATCAAAACAAATCTTCTTAAAAGAGCAACGTTTTGGTTTCCGACATAACAGATTCCAGCTACTGGGTCACCATCAATTCCATCCACAGACAAAATGGCGATCGTTTTCATGGCGGGAATTGCCCAAGCTACTAAATGAAAGTAAAGTGAGCATCCAGCGATGGCTTCATTCCCCCACTTCATTCCCGCTGCCAGAAGCCACGTCAGAGTCAACATTACCCACCAGAGGGAACTGGCCATTCCAAAGAAGTAAATGAGTAGAAAGACAACAATGCACATGGCAGATCGCTCTGAACTTTGATATCGAATAATGTATTCATCACATGCTATGGCCTCATGCCCCACTCCTATTCTAATTAAGTAGCCAATGGATGTCATGAAATAACAGCCTGACAAGAAGATGATTGGACGCTCTGGATATCGGAACCGCTCCTTATCAATCATGAATGTTGTTACTGTCAGTGTAGTGGATAGACAACACAAAATTCCCCATACACTTAACCATATTGTTGCAAATACATGCTCACTCTTTGTGTGAAATAAACCATGACACGACAAAGCACAGTTAAGAACCCCACCGCTTTCAACTTTATTGTAATATTCTTTCTTTTTGTATTCTTTGAGGGAAATCATTGGATATCGGCACTGGCACACACAGTCAGAGTCAAAGGTCACAGATGGTCTTGAATTGTTGGATATTGATGTTTTCATTACATCTGGATGTTTGTTTGTTGGCCTTGTTTCTCTCCCTAACATGTCCTTACCGATGTGAGAAGGGACAGTTTTACTAGTATTTGACATTGAATATTTGGAGCTACCACCACCACCCTCGAGCTCGTCCATACATACGTGACCGGAATTTCCATATTCAGGTAGATTCCCACAGTTCATTCTCTCTGGCCAAGCAAACCCATACTGTTTCATAATGGGAGCACATCCAAGCTGCGCTCTTTCACAAACAGAACGGCATGCTGGAATAGATCCCTCATAATCTGGCATACAGATTGGTATATATATAGAACATAGAAAGAACCGTAAGTCCTTTGAACACTGAATCTCAACCAATGGCCAGAACTGGTGGACTTCCAACCCTGCTTCCTTTTGCGTTTGATGATAAAACTGATTGGGCATAGACGTAACATTGTAGCCAATGTCCTTACACATGGGGACTCTGATATCTTCACACTGTTTTCTCATTCTGTTGAATGGTGACGCATCTACACTCACTAAGAAAATCATTGTTACTAAGTTAATGAAATATACTTGATATTCAAACTGATTTTTATGATATCTGTCTAACATTATAAAAGTCTCTGTTTGTAACACATTCAAATTGTTTACAAATTTCAGTAGTTTGGTATTTCAACGTCAACAAAAAAGTTTACCTCTTTTGCAACTTGATGTCAGCAAAAACTATGAAGATTTCAAATCTGTTTTAAAAATGCCTCAAAATTTAATTAAGTGCCTCGAAAATAAAAAGATTTTGCATTAACGACACTTTCATTTACTTCTGTTGGTTTCTATTCACTATTTTTGGTGTGTTTCGTTGAATGGACTTCCTTGATGAAAAGCTCAGTAACACTTCAATAAAATTTCGTCACAAAGTATGTCTGAAAGAAATAAAAGATCAGTTAATGTTTGACATCATTTGGATAATTCTCTGAATCTCTACAAACTACGTACGATTGCATCTTCATATATTTTTCAGTTTCACTGATATGTAAACAAGATTAGTAAAAAATAGGGGAATAGGGATCGTCAAAAATGTACAGAAACAAGTTGAATCAAAATACAAAAATTATATTTTCAAGCCTACAACTAGGGACTCTAAAAAAAGCAAACAAACAAACAAAGCTGGAAATAGTGTCTACATTATTTTCTCAAGCTACAAATTCTTATTTTTACTCCACTAAAGTTGATAATTACTGTAGACATGGAGTCAAAAAAAGTCGTGATTCATAATTATCCCAAATCTGTTTAGTCTTACATCTTAAACTTTCTGTTAAATTTCACTTGAGAAAATAACCGTAGCTCATTTTATGTGAGATATATAGATTATCCATCTAAACATGGATATATATACACATTAATTAAAAACAGGCATATTTTCAGTTTTATTATGTTTGAATAAGGGTTGGTTTATAATATAGTTTTTTTTTTTTGCTGTTGTTGTTTTAAATATAATTACATGCTATGGTTCTACCCTTACGATTATGTAGTGTCGAAATGCTTAGCTTAAGAGTATACTACTTAAACAATCTTCTCCTTCATCTTTTCTGTATAGATATATTAACTTGCTGTTCTGTTTAATGACATCCGGGTAGAACTTACACTAGCACGAGAAAGTGGCATTCATCCTCGCGCTTAAACAATGAAAATGCATCATTCTTTAATTAACGTACAAATATTTAAAAGTATTGTTGTATATTGACTAAAAAGCAAGGAAATGCAACAACTATTTATATATCTAAAATTTATTTCTTTATGAGTTTTAACTTTACATGCCAAGGTTATTAAATGATCAGGTGTCGCATATTCTAAAGTCTAAAAATATGAATTTTAATACGTCATATCTAAAATCCAGTCATTTTGTCTAAAGATTTAGATACAATAAAATGTATTAAAAATTGTTAAAATGGATTTTTTTATATATATTCTTTAGAAACTTCGCGTAAAGTTACAGAATGGCTATCTGCCTATAGCTATCCATACTTTTGGACTGATTGCTTACAGAGAAGGCAACTAGTCAACATCGCTTACGACAACACTTAGATTACTCTTGTCTGATTGAATAGTCAGATTTGGCGGTCACTCGTATACAGCGCCCTCTACTCAACGTTTTCCGCGAACCAAAAAATTACACTTGACAAAGTAAAAATGGAAAGACACTCGGTAAATAGTTATAATTTGCAACATTATCAGGTTTGAAAAATTGATAAAATTGTCTTTTAAGATTATAATGTTCACCATATGTAATTGTAGCCGTGGTGTTTTGAAAATTTAAGCTATGCAAAATCTACGTTACAGTTACTGATACATCTTTAAAAAAACTATAAACCAGAAACATGGCAAGCCGTATAATGTTTGTTGAAATGTTAGACTTGGAAAGGATTGATGTCAAATATTACCAGAAGTATAGGTTGACGTTTCATTTCATCCAATAAAGCTGACCCAAAAACAGTCATTTGGGCTGGTAAGATACATTTCCAGATCTTACAACAATAAGTCTGCAGCTATAGGGAAAAAATCCACGAGATTACTGTTAAGATAGAATAAAATCAATGATTAATATGTTTGTGCGTGGGTTCACTTCATACATTCAGTAATAATAAGCTCAAAAGTACTGCAAAAGATAAGAGACTTTTATAATCCACTGATATCTCCAAATCAAGACTGTGCTTCTGTTAACTAAAGTAAACATAGGAAATAGCTTCTAGGTTACTTAACGGTAAAGTTTTGAGCTTTTATCCGTTAAACTCGGAGCTCGATCCATGCCGTGAGCACAACGCAGATTTGCGTTTAAAAAACCAAACAAATAAGCATATGATGTACAGTGTACAAGATACGATTACTCGAAAAAATAACTTTAAAAAATAAATAAAAGAATATTAAAAGTGAATATTTATATTATTGTAGCCCCAGTGGATCAACGGTAAATTTGCAAACTTACAACGTTGAAATTTGGGGGTCGATTTCTTCGTGGTGGCAGTGTGCTAAAACAAAACACACATACGTCTTATTAATCTATAAAACCCCTTTTAACTGCTCAACCATTTCAGAGATATATTAGTTCATTCGAAATAATTACAATATTGTTGCTATGTTTTCTCATAAAATGCCAAGTACTTCAAGAAATACACGAGTTTATGGTTTTCTTTTTTTATCTCATATAACACCAAGTTTATTGAAGATGCGTGTATTATGATTTTATATTTTATTTCCCTAACGAAACACTAGATTTTTTGAAAGGTAAATTATTATTATATTGTTTGTTTCCCTTTTATAACAGTAAATTGTTTGAAAAAATAAATAATGATATTTTTTATGATCTCATAAAGCTAGGTTCTTTAAATAAAACTCAAAGATTTAAAGCAATGTTCGACCTTTAACTCGTACAGGGTGGATTAATTTAATTTCACAATGCAGTGGCATGTCTTTGCAGATGTGAGCTGTGGAGCCAAAAGACGTCTTTATTCCTACATATTTAGCTCACGAGGAATTCCTAACCATTCGTCAGTGCAATGTTGCAACGGCTAGATTTTATGGCTGGATGGTATGTCACAGCTCTTCTTGAGGAAGAATGTTTGTATAGGGAAGTAGTAAAGAGATGCAAAACCCGGGACTCACCAATTTCAACAATGACAATCTATCTATAACATAGTAAATAGCATCGGTAAGGAAAGACCAGCACTGCAGTACGAGGGTGTAGAATCACTAAACATTATTCTACTATAAGCACGCTGTCATTGACAAAGTTGGCAGACGATTTTACCTGGAAATCTCATCCGGGATGTTATTACAAACAAGATCTACAAATCACCAAGGCATAGAATAACTCTAAAAATTTTAGCCTGCAAGTAACATAAATGTACAAGTTTCTCCACAAAACGGATGATACAGAGAGTGTAAACAAAGTCCTTCGTCAAGATTTATGAATGCTGCTGGTTTCTCATTCGATGGAAAATTTAAACTTTTATAAGAATAAAAAAACTAAGGTGAGTTTTGTTGCTATCAAAATAACATACTGACATCTCTAACTACTATCAAAATAACACACTGATATCCCTAACTACTATCAAGATAACACACTGACATCTCTAACTACTATCAAAATAACACACTGATATCTCTAACTACTATCAAGATAACACACTGACATCTCTAACTACTATCAAAATAACACACTGATATCTCTAACTACTATCAAGATAACACACTGCCACTCTAACTACTATCAAAATAACACACTGACATCTCTAACTACTATCATAATAACACACTGACATCTCTAACTACTATCATAATAACACACGGACACCTCTAACTACAATCATAATAACACACGAACACCTCTAAATACTATCAAAATAACACACTGACACCTCTAACTACTATCATAATAACACACGGACACCTCTAACTACTATAAACATAATATACTGACATCTCTAACTATTATTAAAATAACATACTGACCTTTCTAACTGCTATCAAAATAACACACTGACCACAATTATACGAAATGAAACTACTGAACTGTAAATCAATGACCAGATCAACAAAAATAAATTGCTACCAACAAATCTCACGTTTAAATTCACAACATTGTTTCTACGAGCCATGCGGAATAGAACCAGTGTTCATGCTCTCCTCTTCTCTGACATTCTTAAAGGCATGCAAGTACCTATGTACATCTGTGCGTTTGTCTTGCTTGAAGATTTATATTGGAAACAGATGTCCAGTATAATTGAGAAATGTGTGGAAAACGACTCACCTCAGAGTCTTTCTCAGAAACTCATTAAAATGGGCGTTCCGGTGCCTGGCTATATTGGGTAATAATTATTATCAGAGTAAACACGATCGCCGATAGAGGACGTAGTTCCAAAAACATCACAGTTCTTGTAACATATCGTTCTTACAAAATACACTGCAATATTCAGATCCACTATATTCTTAAGTGCATGTTTTATTGTTTGAAATCATCTCTTCCGCTTTAATCTGGTAGTCGCTTAATAAAAACTGACTGAATAAATATATAACTACTGGGACAAATAACGTATTTTACAGCAGTTAAGTAGAGAAAAAGACAACAATTTATATTTTATACCTTGGCACAAACCATTATTCATGAATAAGATAAACTGGTAGTTTAACCTTGAGACAAACTGGTGTTCATGTCCTCATGAATAAGATAAACTGGTACGTTGGTTTAACCTTGAGACAAACTGGTGTTCATGTCCTCATGAATAAGATAAACTGGTACGTTGGTTTAACCTTGAGACAAACTTGTGTTCATGTTCTCATGAATAAGACAAACTGGTACGTTGGTTTAACATCAGTACAAACTGATGTTCATATCCTCATGAATAAGATAAACTGGTACGTTGGTTTAACCTTGAGACAAACTTGTGTTCATGTCCTAATAAATAGAATAAACTGGTACGTTGGTTTAACCTTGAGAGAAACTTGTGTTCATGTCCTAATAAATAGAATAAACTGGTACGTTGGTTTAACCTTGAGAGAAACTTGTGTTCATGTCCTCATGAATAAGATAAACTGGTACGTTGGTTTAACATCAGTACAAACTGATTAAGGTTAAACCAACGTACCAGTTTATTTTATTTATGAGGATATGAACATACATAAATGGTGTTCACATTTTCATAAGTATGATGAACTGGTGCGTCCTTTAACCTTGGTATAAATAGCTACATTTTCTCCCTATTGCCTGATAGTTCATGAATCGTATCTCTTTGCCGTACCAATGCACTCACGCTACATGTTATGAATGTTGCTACAAAAATGAGGAGTAATTAAATCCCCCTAATCGGTTAGAATAGTCCAAAAGTTAGCAGTAGGTGCTGTTGACTAGCAGACATCAAAATCAGAGACAGCTAGCGCAGATAGCTCTTTGTGTAGAAACGCGCGAATTTTCAAAACAAACAAACAAATTGATGATTCAGTAACTCCTACACCGTGAATTTAACCTTTATGAAAATGGTTTTATTTCTTGTGTTGCATGAAAAGATCCGAAACCTCGAGCTTGTCTCTCATACAATAAAGTTGTAAAAAAAGTGGGGGAAAGCACATGATGGGTTTGGCCGTTATTCATGTGTATGTCTGAACTAATTTATGGAAGAAAATCAATACATTGATTTGATCATCGCACAAGTAGGTGTACGTAAACTAAAGAATGAGAGGAACCTATACAACGCAACCGACTTTTGTATAAACAATGTGCTTGATGTGATCATTGGATAGAATTAACTTGCACTCTGCGTTTCTTCATGGTACAAGCAAATCTAATTAACTTAACGTTCGATTTGCATATTCTTTCATAGTTTGAAAAAGTATAAACCATAGTTTATTTCGATGAAACTTAATTGAATGGACGACAACTAAGTTTCATCACGAATACTCTGTCTAAACAATCTATTAAAGAATCCCTAAAGAGTTGTTATTGAACAGTCTCTATTAATAAGATCAACAACTACAATAAAAACTTACCAAGGTTGCACACAGTTTTATCAAGAAGATCAACAACTACAATAAGAATCTTACCAAGGTTGCACACTGTTCTATCAAGATCAACAACTACAATAAGAACCTTACCAAAGTTGCACACTGTTCTATCAAGAAGATCAATAGCTACAATAAGAACCTTACCAAAGTTGCACACTGTTCTATCAAGAAAATCAACAGCTACAATAAGAACCTTACCAAAGTTGCACACTGTTCTATCAAGAAGATCAACAACTACAATAAGAATCTTATCAAGGTTGCACACTATTCTATCAAGAAGATCAACAACTACAATAATAATGGTTGGAGACGGCTTGAATGGGTAATGAAGAAAAACTTTAATATAAGTTTAACATAACAGCAAATGTACAACGTTTCGACAAGGTTTTGTCATCATCAGGTACCATTCAAGCCGTCTCCAGCCATTATTAGTCTCAAAGTGGGTTCCTCGTCACCGAATTTGAATTACAATAAGAACCTTACCAAAGTTGCACACTGTTCTATCAAAAAGATCAACATCTACAATAAGAATCTTACCAAGGTTGCACACTGTTCTATCAAGATCAAAAACTACAATAAGAACCTTACCAAAGTTGCACACTGTTCTCTGAAGAAGATCAATAGCTACAATAAGAACCTTACCAAGGTTGCACACTGCTATAATCATCTGACCTTCCTACTACACCGCAGAGATTCGAACATCATCCCGATCTTTCTGATACTTAAATAAACTACTTTCACCAGAACTACAATAATAAAAAAGTTATCGACAATATCAACAGGTACCTCCTAAGATTAACTATAGAAGAACATAGACGCAAGAAGCACCATCTAACCAGCATAACTGGAATCCAATATGCGACAACTTTTCACCACAAATACAAGAGCATTGGACAAATTTAACCTCTACATTCAAAAACCAAAATCAATTAAAAGTCCTCTACACTTGTGTTTCTACAACAGACAGATGTCCATTCAACTAAGATTCATCCCGAATACTCATAGAAATAAGGTTTAAAAGCTACTTGGCTATAAAAGGTTTATGTCGAACTTATTACTACCTCGACACATACACACATTTCAAGAACAACAATTGTTATTATTCTCTCTATTACTTTGAATAGAAAAGTGAATTATTTTTCTGTAATAAGCCTCAACAATATATATATATGTGTGTGTGTGTGTGTGTACATATATATCAGAAGGAGGAAAAGGCAGATATTTTTTGGTTCTTAATCATACAAAACTTCAACATTGTTTGTCAAAGATGAAAAGTTATATTACGACAATAAATTACCTTTTCTTTCTTCTAACTGCTTCGGCAGTAATTCCATTAATACTTACGTTTCCGGTAAGAGTTGCTTTTATACGAGTGTATTACATCTCTTTGTGACTGGACAGATATGAAATCTTTTCTGTGATTGGACAGACATCAAATATTTTCTGTGATTGGGCAGACACCAGATCTTTTTTGTGATTGGACAACACCAGATCTTTTCTGTGAATGGACTCACACCAGATCTTTTCTGTGAATGGACACACACCAGATCTTTTCTGTGATTGGACAGACATCAGATCTTTTCTGTGATTGGACACACACTTGATCCTTTCTGTGATTGGACACACACCAGATCTTTTCTGTGAATGGACACACACCAGATCTTTTCTGTGATTAGACACACACCACTCCTGACGGAGTTATCGTATGAAGTACCTTAGCTTTCTTCTATAAAAGAATAATCTTCCATTTTGTAAGGCAAATAATTTTATTGATGCTGTGCTAATAGCGATTTCGAACCCTGTATTGTACACTTTCAGCCTATAACCGTCTTAAAGTTCCGGTTGGTGAAAGGAACATTTCGTCTACTTTGTAAATGCTAATAAATGCATGCAACGAACATCTGTGATTATCCCGTTTTATATTTCTATAATTTTACTGCTGTTTTTACAAAATAAATTTCTATTAGAGTGCCTATCTATCGGAAGTAACAAATGTTGAGTGAAAATAAGGAATAGTACTCACCGTCATATGTGATTATATATTATCTTTTAATCTTCATCCCTCTGTGTTCGTTTTCTGCTTTGTAGGAATATGTTGATTCTCGTTTCATCAAGAATAGGAAAGTTGTTTGAAATTATATTCCCTTTTCGCAGTGTTCGCAAATTCAGATTCGAAGTTATACACCAAAGGTACAAGATGTGAGCGTATATGTAACACCACCCCAAAAATCAATGCTGACTGACATGGTAGTGTTTAGAACCCTCAAGTTCCATACCGCGCTCAGCCAGTCGACTGTGCTGGGCCTAGCATATTTTTCTTTCAAGGGTAGCAAGAGCAGGAATGATGATGAGTTTTTAAAAGTAGGGAAGGATTCGTTTTAATAAAGGTAGTTCGAAGTCACCATAGCAACGTCGAAATATTTGACTTATTGACAAGAGAAGCCACTAGATCTCCGTACAAATCACATTGATCATACTATACTCTTTTACATGGGTAGCACCGGTCTCTCGTGTCGAATATTGAAACATCAAAAATATCCACGTGCAGAGACATATGCTTCTGATGTTATTACTAATTTGGAAATAATTATTGAATAACACAAGATTACACAACGTTTGTTTGTTGTTAAGCGCAAAGCTACAGAATGGGCCATCTACGCTATGCTCGCTGCAGGTATCGAAACCTAATTTTTTGTGTTATAAACCTCCAGGCTTACCGCTGAGCCACCGAGAAGCTGGTTGGGACATGAGTAGTTATAAATAATTTCATTTAAACTGCTACTTTTCTTTTACCAGCAAAAGCTTTGTTTTCATGCAGATAGCCATGATTAAAGTTAGAAGTGGCGAAAATGTCCTTGTTCTCTACTAAACATGACACGAAATTCAGCTCCTAGATATCTAAATCAGACTCGCTTTTCGATTGTTCTTATACTTTTAGAGCTCCAAATGTAATCTCAGAACTGTAAAACTTATAAAAGCTTAATTAACAAACATCACAATGAAAATGTGTGTTTTGTTTTAATAACAAATTATTTTTAGACTTTCTTATTTCTCTTTAAAACTCTCAACACTTATGCCCAGAAACTGAAATTTAATCAAGTCACAATAATATTTATATTTCATTTTAAAGCGAAAGTTTCGAAACATTTAGATTCAAGTTCAAGGTAGAGAATCTGCGAGGATACAAAAAATATTTGTTAACTGTTTTGTTGTTTAAAGCTCGGGATATAAAGTTTTCCTTGTGTCACAGTTAGATGTCAGTATTCAAGAGGACTACGTCCGTCAGTGATTTGAATTTCTCTTTCATACTCAGTTATCCTGTAGGATAACTTATTGAACCACATGATATCATATACTAGTCATTCATAGTACACATCTGAGAAACATATATAGATATAAGCATTTAACCGACATTATCGTTGTAACACCTAACATCAAAGCTGGTATTTCGGGTTTACGCACTCCATCTTATAAGTTAAGTTGGTTATAAAGGTCTTGGTTAAACTGGGGGGAGGGATCTTCAACAAATTATCCAAAATCAAAACTTTCTCACGGATGTCAATATACTTCGTTGATTTTGCTAATTCATAACCGTCTTAGTCGTCTGATACTGTCTAACCCAATCAATTTTTTTTATTCATTTCAAGTATTCTCACGTCGACATATATGCTTTGCTAATTTTGATGTTATTTACTTAAATGTCTTATATGGAAGTTATATTTATCGTAATAGACTTATTAGAGTTTGTTTAAAGTTCAGTTTATGTAGAGAGAATGTATTGCGATTCTTAATAGTAATGGTTTCGATTCTAATGTTATATTAATGTTTTTAGTGATACCAGATTTTCTACATTGTTAAATACAGTTATAAAATAGATCTGGTGGTCGCGAAGTCGAATCCTATCACCGAACATGCTCGCCCTTTCAGCCGTAGGGTCATTATAATGTGACGGTCAATTCCAATATTCGTTGGTGCAAAGAGTATCCGGAGAGTTGGCGATGGACGGTTGACTAGCTGCCTTCTCTATAGTCTATCACTTCAAAACTGGGGACGGCTAGTGCAGGAAGCGCGAAATTCAAACAAACAATTATAAGTGCTTCATTGTTCATTTCCAGTTGTTCTGATTAGCTCTAACTTTGTTCGAAATTACTACCTGTGCAATAAAGTATTAACTTTCTCTTAAATTGTTAAATTTGCATTTGCCTCTTTTTTATTTTTAATATCACTCAGCCTCCTCGCTTTACTAAATGGACACCCTGTTTATCTATGGTTGAAGCAATAACTTAAATGGAAAAACTTATGTAAAGGTGAAACTTTCGAAGACCTGGTATGGACAGTTTTGGATTTCTGAACGAACAATATAGAGCTAAACACATAGCATGTATTCTAGGAAGGACGCCCCTGTTTACAATGGTGATTTAACAATCGCTCGAAAGAATTTAAAATATAATCCTGCGGAGTCATATATAAAACATTAAATATTTCATGACGCAATACCATGTATAATTACTGGTTTTAATTCACTGTTAAACTAGATTGAGAAGAATTTCTTCAAAATTGCTGGATACGTTCCTAACTCTTGGCAAACTCACATACAGAAACACGATGGTTGCTGGATAAGTTCCTAACGCTTAGCAAACTCACATACGGAAACACAATGGTTGCTGGATAAGTTCCTAACGTTTAGCAAACTCACATACGGAAACACAATGGTTGCTGGATAAGTTCCTAACGCTTAGCAAACTCACATACGGAAACACGATGAACAAAAATATAAAAATAGAAAGCAAACTATTAACTAATAAAACAATGTGTTATCGGTCCAACTCATGACAAATACACTGCACCAAGAAAAACAGTCACCCGTTATTTAAAAGTTCTTTAAACGTACAACCAGTCCGTGAATTGTGATAAGACGTCATTTCTTCTAACTTCTGTGTATTTTCGTGGTTCTTTTGTATTTCAGTGTTGGTGTTGAGTCAAAAAAAATAAATCCGCGAAACTACATCAACTTCTAACTCCTTATTAAGGCCGCTCAGATTTGACTTCAACAACGATACACAAGAAGTTCAAGCTCATACATTATTAAAAGTAGTGCCAGCTCTGCGAAACTATTGCCTCTTTCCTACAGAAGTGAAGAAATGTAGATGAAAAATTAATAAGTCTTTATACTTTTCCTTATACTGTGCCCTGGTGTATGAATATGAGCACTTGTAAAACAACTATTATTGTCCGAATAACCCACAATATTTCTACGCCCGTGGTATATCAGGATATATTAAATTGTATTAAACTTTCTATTCTTCACCAACTTGATAATTTTCCTTAATAATACTTGATGCAGTGAATGAAGAATTATTTCTATATATTATTATTGCACTTTATTTTCCTGGATAATAACATGAAATACGCATGCTCATTAGATGTGTAATTCTATATTTATAACTCATTCTTCAGCGTATATAGGAAGTAAAACATTATGATAGAACTTATTTTCATTCGTAAATGGTAACCTGTCGAACTAATTTGTGAATAAACATTTAGATGAAAGAGTTGAGAAGATACAATATTTGAGACAAAATCAGTTTGAGATTTCCAATTAATAAATAAAAAAGTATTTCAATTTTACGTCTGTCAAGCTTAACGTTACAATAAACAGTCTGAGAATTAGAAAACTGCAGTAGATATGTGGTCTTTTACAGACTTAGCAGCCATTTGGTTGTTTTAGCGCATAGCCACACATACAGCCATGTTCGCTCCGTCTGCACGGAGAATCGAACCCCAGATTCTAACATTTTAAGCCCGTAAACTCACTGTTAACCCACCGGGAGACAACAGAAAATATAGCGTTTGTGGCGAAATCTAAATCTTGACTTCCAAAGTCTGAACATATTACTCATTTACTTCAATATTACCATGTTTTTACTGCACAGATCTCATGTGTTGATTACACACATTTCTTTTGAGCTCCTCTACCCCAACTTGGGTGAAAGCTTCCTTGGAATCTGATTATAATCCCTTTTATACTCGATAAAACAAAAACGTATAAATAGAATGCATTGATTACTCAGTTGGATACCTCAATTCTTAACGATATTTTCGTCATAATCTCAATAGCTCATAAAGTTCAGCCAGCTTAGGGGATCTAGATTAGTCCTAAATCAATGCAGTAAACTGACATTGCAAAATAATTTTATCAATGTAAAAACAACAATAAAACCATATTGTCTAACCCGAAGCTAATAGCCTAAAACCTTAGTTCTTCTACGAACAGGGCAAAACATGCAAAAAGTAAACGCGATTTAGAAAATAAATATGTTTATAAGATTTTTCTAAGAATAAAAATAAAAACGACGTTTCTGGCAAAATGAAAGATAAAATCCTTATTAGACATTTGAGCCAACTGGTTTCGGTAACATAGTTACCATCATCATTAGACATTCTAGCCAAATGGTTTCGGTAATATAATTACCATCATCAGGGCTTTAATCGGCTGAAATATCTAATCAATGTTTTATCTTTCGTTGTGCCAAAGATCGTCCTTTTTATTTCTTACTCTTGATATAGTAGCAAAATGTGCCTGAAAAGAAATTAAAAGATTTTATTTTAAGGAGATAGTAAATATTTTTTTTACATTTAATTTAGGTGTAGTACAAACAAGTGAGAGACGCGAGAACTAATAAATGGGTAAGAGAAATGGTGAGTCTCAGAAGAAAATGATTTGCTAGGTGAGACGAAGAAAAAGAAAATACACTCACTGGAAAAGAAGTGGAGCAAACTTGGCACTGACCACAGTTAAAAGGGATGATGAATGGCTAGAGCAGAAAAGGAAGGAGAAAAATTATATGGATGGATAAATGAAGAAATGGACTAATAGAATAAGAAGAGATGGAAGGAAGAGGTGTAGCAAGAGGCGATCTCATCCTTATTTGACACTGAGCTCCTTGTAGGAGACGTTTTTATTTCTAGAAAACATGATTATTTTGAACAGATACTACTTTATGATTTCGTCCATCAATAACTAAAATTCCCACTGTGTAATATTTAGCAATCTACTCATTTCTTAATTCATATTACATTTATTTCACTGTCAATCCTCACTTTCCTTTGTATCAAAACATTTGATCTTGTTAGATCGAAAAAGAAGACAAACTT